CAACAATCTAACCTCTCTGCTTTCTCAATGAAATGTCTTTCACATAACATCCAATCTCTTGGATAAGTATTAATGAATTCAGGCTTTACAGTTACTTTACCCTCTATTTTAGAAAGTTTTTCTTTACCTATTTCTTGACATCCATTGATACAACATATTTTTAACATCTCAAAAACAAGTGCTATTCTTTTTCTTTTTTAGTTTTTTTTAAGATTTCTAGTTTTTATTAAAATTTTTATTGTTTTATAATGGTGTAAGATTTTTAATAGTAATCTTTTAAGATTTTCTCAAAAAATAAATGACAATAAATCAAGTAGTTAACATTCTCTTATTTTATTTATATTATTCATTTTTTACATTAAATATAGTACTTCATTTTTATTTTTTTCATTCTCTTATTTTGTATATTTCTTATTAGTTTATTTATTATTTATTCTTTATTATTATCATTTTTCTTATTCAACTTGAGTTAATTTTTGTTAGAAATCATTATTTGTTTATTTATATTAATCGTCATTATCTTATTTATATTCTTTTATTATTTATTTTTGATGTAATTCCTTCTATTTATTTATTTGACATACAGTATGTTTAATTCTATTGCTTTATTTTAATTATTATTAGTTCGTTGTTAATTTCTTAATAATTATTATACAATTGTTCTTGTTCTTTAATATTTCTTATTCTCTTAATTGATATTTTGATTTAAACTTGTTGACATTAATAATTTATTGATTATTAATATTTGATATTTTCATATCTATTAATTATTATTTGAATTAATAATTTCAATTATATTTAATTATGTTATTTAATTATTCTAATACTATAAAATTGATTTTTTTTTCATATTTGTATCATTATCAAAATATTATTCTATTTTTTATTTTATTAAGTTTCTATTTATCTTTATTTGTTCATTTAGAATGTAAATATTTTTTATATTCTTCTTTTGATATGATTTAATGTGTTATAATATATGATTTTGGTTTATCATTATTAAACTATGAAAATATTATATTTTCTATTTTCGTTTTTTCAAAATCAAATTTATATTAATTACTTTATTATTTCTTATCAGTTTTATTTTTGACTGTTAACGCATTCATTTTTTTTATTAATTCAGTATTTTATTCGTTTCATTAGAGATAATGTTTTTATTTATTTATTATTCATTTAAATAATTATTTGAATATATTGTTTTAATTTAAAATTATGTTCATTAACAATATGTTTTGTTTGTTTAAATGTTTTAATGATATTTATCAAATCATTGATTTAAGATAATTATTGAAGAAAACAATATATTTCTTTTTGTTATATTTTGATAGATATTAAATGATTGACATCATAATGAAAAAGTAAATATTTCTCTTTACTTTAAATTTTAATTATAGTAGATATACATTTGTTTTTTTAATTGAATTGTCATGTTTTTCAATACAATATATCAATTTTATTAATATTATTATAAGGTATTGAAAATAATATATAATTTTATCACTTCATTACATACTACTTTCAATTAAATAATATTTATTTATAGTTACTAACTTATGACTTTAATTATCAGAACACGACAATAACAATCAAAATATATTAATACAATAAATTAAAATAACACACCCAGAAGAATAATTCATTAAATAAATAAACATTGTTACCAAGCTCATTCATTATAATAAATAAAAAATAAAAATAAAAATAAAAACCATTTTAAATAAAAAAGAGAATGAAAATAAGAATAAATTAAAAAGAATAAGATGCTTAATTTTATTATTCATTAATATCATTAACTTTATAGTATTAGAAAAGAATTGTATAGACAAGATTTTTCAAAGTAGGTTAGATATATTAAATTATATATTAACAACCTTAAGGACTTTAATTTATCTAATTTAAAAAAAAATTATTCGTTAAGTTAATTCTTTATTAAGGAAATAAAGCTATTAATCAAAATAATTCAATTATTTATAAAGAAAGAATTTGTTTTCCAAAAAAAAGAATAATAAAAAAGGAAAAATGAATGGTATTAATTTTTATAAATTTTTTATAAATACTTTTTTATTTAATTTTTAAAAGTTTCCTATCAAAAATAATACTGATTTTTGAATTGTTATCAAACCCTTGAATTTTCATTCAATCATAAAAATACTATTTTTGTGTGGTTCAAAAGCAAATAAATTGCCTATTTCTTTAATCTTAGAATCTGAAACTCATAATTTAATGTCTATGAGTTATCTTACTCTTCTTGTTTTCAGTTTAACTTTATCATTTTCACTTAGTGCTAGTTGTAGTAAAGGGTTACCTGTCATTAATCTTCCTTTTACTGCTTATGATAAAATTGATGCTGACGTAACTGATTTTATAATTGAAGACAATAATGGTATTCAACAATTAGTTAAACCAGTGTGGTATATTCTTAATTCAACCAAAGACACTACATTCACTGTTTCTACTTGTTCTGCATATACATTAGTCGATACTAAAATTGCTGCATATCATACTTGTAGTGAAACTGCTGCAACAAACTTAATTGAAATGAATGACGATTTTCCTGAATGTTCTACTAATTCTAAATTACAAGTATTTGTTAGTGCAGGAAAACCAGTTTATGTTGCTGTTTATTCTGCTCCTGGTGCCTATGGTAGATTCCGTTTCACTGCCCAAGAAACTAATCCAACAAATACCAATTGTCGAAAAGCATTAGAAATTAAATCATTCCCTGCTGTAGTTGAAGGAAATACATTAGCAGGTGATTCAACTAAACTTGACTGTACTATTTATAGTTCAGTACATGGACTATGGTATACTTTTGTTGGAGATGGAAGAGCTATTGTAGCTGATACTTGTGGTTCTAATCTTCCATTTGATGTATTTCTTGCAGTTATTAAAGGACCTATTGAAGGAAATTGTGATAATATGCCATGTTATACTTCTGCTGATGGAGGATGTCCTGGTAATGTTGGAGATGTTCCAGCTCGAGTCTATTTCCCAACAGTTAAAGATCAACGTTATTATATTTTTGTTACTTCTTATTATCAAGAAGCAGGTACTTTCCAATTAACTATTAAATCTCTTGCTCAAGCAATTCCTACTGTTTGTGAACAAGCAATTTCTATTATTTCTTTACCATTTAGTAGATCAGCACCATTAAATGATTCATGGACTAAAACCAATAATCTTTGTAGTGATACAACCCTTTCATTCCCAGCTGCATACTTTACATTTAAAGGTACAGGAACAGGTGTATCAATTCAAACATGTGCTTCTAAATCAGGTGAAAGTAAAATTGAAATTTTTGATTCTTGTAGTCAAAGTACTTGTATCCAAGAGTCTAATGTTGTTTGTGGAAATCATGGTTATATTGACTTTATGCCAGAAAATGGTAGAGAGTATTATATTCGTGTGGTTTGTATTAATGGTCCATGTGATTTAACTTTCTTTATGGAATATACCAGTACCAGTAAACATGACCGGTGTGAAAGTGCATTATTAGTTACTTCATCATTAACTGAAACTGCCTTCTTAAGTGAATTATCTGAAGCACCTCATGGGTGTTCAGGAACACCAGAAAATGGTAAAGGAAAATGGTATAAATTTATTGGAACTGATGCCCTTCCTAATAAGAAAGGATACCATTTATTCTCATATGATGAAGAAGGTAATTCACCAAATGCAATTGAAGTTCACAGTGGATGTGGTAATTATTATTGTTCATATAATAGAAGAGAGGAAGTATTGATTGATATTAAACAAACTGCTTTTGTTTATGCATTTGGAGGAACAAGTCAAGCCCTTGCTGTTCATATTGTTATTGAAGAAACCATTGAACATGAAACCTGTCAAAATGCTCGTTCTATTATGGTTCCATATACTATTCTTGATTGGAATTTGAATGCTGAACCATCTAATGGCTTTTGTTCTAGAAGACAAGAAACTGAAGCTGTATGGTATACTTTTAGTGTAGAAAAACCAACTGAAGTTTCTATTTCAACATGTTCTCAATCAATCCAATATGATTCATATCTTGCTGTTGGTTCAGGGTCATGTGGAAAATTACTTTGTATTGCTGATGTTAATGATACAAGAGGATGTAATGGAGGAGGTTATGTTACTATTAAAGCACAACCAGGAAATAATTATTATGTTTTTGTTGGAGCTGAAAGTCAAGGAACAAGTGGACAATTTGTTTTATCATTATATACAAATGATAGACCAATTTATTCACAATGTAGGGAGGCTATAATCCTTCCTGTATCAAAGAGATTCTATAGAATGACTACTTATACCCAATACAGTTATGCTACTTATATGACATTCCCAGATGGAACTCATAAAAATGTTCGTGGTTCATATTATTTAATTCCTGAAGGTTATAAAGGTACTGTTTATTTCATGACTTGTGCAACAGGTACTGAAATTCCAACATTTATTTCAGCACATGACTCATGTCGTGGCAATGATAAGACAAATTACAGTTTCCCATCAACTCCAACTGCTTCAGAATATTCTGATTTTAAAACAGGTAATTGTGGAAAATTTGGTACTATTTTGAAAGTAGAAGTAAATGGTGTTGATCCAAAACTTGTCTTAGTTTCTGGTTTTAATGAAAATGAAATTGGGTTTATTGACGTTGAAATATTGATGAAACTTGAAAAAATACCATCATCAGATTCTTCATCTTCATTACCTCCATCCCCAGATGCTTCAAGTAATCAACCGTCAACAAGTTCTTCTGCTCCAAGTCCAAGTGGTGAATCATCAAACAATGCAGAGGATAATAATGGGGTTAAAGTTGGATGGATTATTTTTGGTGTTGTTTTCTTCTTGATATTTGTCAGTATCTTTGCTTTTATTATTGGATTCATAATTTATCGTAAAAAGAGAAGCAATAATGGTTATCACGACCTTTCTTGAGCAATAATTTTAGGTTAATTTATTATTCGATTTCTTCTTTTTTCTTGTTAAAATAATAGAATAAAACAATCTTTAATGATTCAATACAACTTCTTTAATCTAAGGACTAAACGAATATCACGTAGATCAACAGTCACACGTTTGGCATGAAGGGCACACAAATTACTATCTTCAAAGAGCTTTACCAAAAAGTCTTCTGCAATAAAGTGAAGTGCAAGAATGGCATCTCTTTGGAATCGGAGTTCATTTCTATCTAAAAAGTCTTGATTACTAAGAACAAGATCTTTAACCTAACAATTAATTTACCTTTTTGTTTCTAAATAGTTGAAAAGAAAAGATAAGTGAAAATAAGATAATTTAAGATAGAAGTTTGAATAGATAATATTTTTTTTTTGGTACAAAATCGTTATCTTAAATAAAAAACAACAAACAAATTTCATGAAAGCATTTTTAGGTATTGAAGTGAGTGCATTTCTTCTATTTATCTCTGCTACTCTTTCCAAAGGTGATTTTTTAACTACTTTTGATTTAGGAACGAGAATCGATGTTTTTTCAGATATTGATGATGATATTTTTGATAAACTTTCTTTGTGTTCTTGTTTTATTGCATGTATTTCCTTTTTGATGGGTTGAATTTCTTTTTTAATCGGTACGATTTCTTTTTTAATTTCATTTATTGTTCCTTCTACTGTTTCTTTTTTAATTTTAATAAGAGCTGGTTCTTTTTTTATTGTTTTTAAAGACTGTTTCTTTGGTTTTTTTTCTTCTACTCCTTTTTTCTTATCATCTTTTTCTTTTTTTATTTTGATTGAATGAGGATCCTCTTTTTTTTGTCTTGCCATTTGATTCTGTGGCTTGTGATCATTTTTAGATCCATATTTTTATCGTTTTCATTAATAGCTCTTTGAATTATTTCTTTTACTATTTTGGTATAATTACTTAAAAACTAACTCTTTTAGTTTTATTCTTATTTTTAATAGAATAGTTATTTCCATCCAGATACCTCATTAAAATAAATCAATCTTGACAGTGTTTCATTGATTACAGAGAGTCAAAAAAATATGAAGAAGCTCTAAAAAATACTATAATAAATAAATCCTATATTTTATAATGATTTAATTTATTATTTTAATTATTCGTTTTAATCTATTTTAAGGGAAAAATAAATGAAAAATAATTGTGGATGAAAATTCAATAACAAAATTAATCACTTCAATACTATTTCCATAATTCATTTATTATCTCTAATTATCTTGTTTTTGTCATAAGTTATAAATATGTCAATATAAAAAATGAATTTTAATTTGGTAATAATGAACCTCCTTAATAACTTTTATTTGAGTATCAAAAATTGAATAATAATGTTTTAAATGTTTCAAATCATTAAAAATGTATCAAATTATAATTTTTTCTTTCATTTGAATAAATAATAAATATTTTTAATAATCAAATTATGAATGAACGCTATCAATAATCAGTTATTTTATTAAATAAACTTCTTTTTTGTTTAAAGTACTTAACAAATCTTGTATTAATTGATCAATTCTCTTTCAAGGTAAGTGAAAATTAGTTTAATTCATATTATGACATTGTGGCATGAAACAAAAAAGTTAGTACTTTTTATCAGAATCAAAAACGGTGTATTAATGAATCTAAATGATAATATATCAAATAATTATATCATAACACGAATTTAATGATGTTAATATTATTGTCTAATTCTATTACAATTAAAAGAAATGAAATATTAGAAATAGGTGTAATATCTTAAGAAGGAGTAAATTACAAATATTATTAATGAAGACTATATTTTATTAATTAAATCAACTTCACTCTTATAAAAGGAAAAATCATAAAATAAGAAATCTGTTATTAAAATAAAATACTTAAGAAATCAACAGATATCAAATAGAAAGTAATAATAATCATTTAATGAAGAGACAAAATTAATAATCAAACTAATGATAAAAAATAAATTATTAACATGTAAGAAGATGTTTAATGAATTAACAACATTTTATAGTGGTGTTAAATAACAAAGTATAATTAAATTAAAATGAATTTGATAGTTTATCCCAAGAATTTTAATTATAATTAACCTGTATTAACCAAATTCAAAACTATTTATTAATTATATTTAAACTATTATATTTTAATTTTTCCTTTTTCATAAAATTTAATATAAGTATGTTTCTTATACATACCATAAAAATATAAAAATAATATTAGGTACTATAAATTTAAGATATTACTTCATTCCTGAATAAAGCATCATTTTTCTGAATAAAGCATCATTTTTTTTTCTTAGTGAAGCATCATTTTTTTAGTTATCTGTAACAAGACGAAGAGACAATCGTTATTTAATTAATCTACTTTATTTTTAGGATAAAAAAGGAAATAAAAAATGAATAGATAATGATATAACTCAAGATTTACTTTGACTATTTTTGTACATTTAATTGAATCGAATAGTAGCTTACGAAAAGATTCGTGTTATTACAAAGAGGCTTTGATAAAGATCTTAAAAGTACTTATAAACATATAAATGAATTCAATACCAAACCTTATTATTTTAAAGATAGGAGGTAGTTATCTAACTGAAAAGAATAGAGTTGATGGTCCTCCAGTTTTAGAAAATATACATGTATTTAGCAAATGCCTAGCTCAATTTATTCATTCTCATCCTAAACAACCAATTATACTTGCCCATGGAGCTGGGTCATTTGGTCATGTCCCAGCAGCAAAGTATCATCTTGCAGAAGGGTTTCATAAAACTGGTGTTATTGAATGTGAAATGGCAATGCAAGAATTAAGTTCTGTCATTGTTAATTCATTAATTAAAGAAGGGGTTAGTGCTATTCCATTTCATCCTTTTAATTTTGTTGTTACTGAAAATAAAAGAATTGTTGACATGTATTTACAACCACTTCAAATGATGATTAATCAAGGAATTATTCCTGTGGTTCATGGAGATATTGCAATGGATATTATACAAGGTAGTTGTATTCTTTCTGCTGATCAACTAGTTCCAGAACTTGCTATTAGATTTGGTTGTAGTAGAATTGGATTCATTTGCAATACCCCAGTTCTTAATGATAAAGGAGAAGTTATTCCATTGATAAATGAACAAAATTATGATTCAATAAAAAAGTTTTTGCATGGTTGTAAAGGAGTAGATGTAACTGGGGGCATGGCTGGGAAAATTAGTGAACTAATGATAGCAGCCAAAAAACACATGATTCAGTCATACGTTTTTGAAGGTACAAAGGAATGTCTAGAACTTTTTTTAGAAGGAAATGATGTTGGAACCAAAGTTTGCCAATAAGATAATTACTAACAAAATATTTCTTATCTGATTTAAAATATTCTTTTTGTTTTTCAAGGAAAATTTTTTTTAAATTAAAAAATAAAAAGAACTTTATTAATTTAATTAAATTTATATGAGTCAACTTACTGCAGTTAGTAGAATTGTAGAAGAACGAAGGGCTTGGAGAAAAGACCATCCTCCAGGATTTATTGCACGACCAATAATGAAAAAAGGACAACCTGATTTGTTTAATTGGGAATGTTTAGTTCCAGGAAAGAAAGGAACAATATGGGAAAATGGTTATTATCCAGTAGAAATGAAATTTTCTACTGGGTATCCAGCATCCCCACCACGTTGTTATTTACCAGAAGGATTTTTCCATCCAAATGTATTTCCAAATGGACAAATTTGTCTTAGTATATTAAATGAATCATACGATTGGAAACCTACAATTTCTATTAAACAAATTCTTGTTGGAGTACAAGATTTATTAGATAATCCAAATAAAGAGTCTCCTGCTCAACAACGTGCAAATGATTATTTTGTTAGAGATATTAAAGCATATAAGATGGAAGTAATAAAACAAAAAGAACAATATTTAAAAGATTCATTATAATTCTACTTGTTTAAACAAAATGTTGTTGTTGTAATCCTTAATTATCTCTATTTATTC